CACCTCTAATGGTTCCCACCCAATGCTAACAATCAAGGGACTTGAAGAGAGATTATGGAAAGATGAGAAATTCGGCCTAACCTTATGATGAATGGCATGGCCAAATTTATGAAGAGAGGAGTATTATTTATAGTGTAACAAGAAACCCTAGATAAGTCCCAAAACAATAAAATAACATTATCCTGCATTTAGAAGTTATCTGGTTTCCTAATTATCCTCCAAGGATAATTCTAGATCATCTAGAACCATATCAAAACCGTCCAAGGCTTATGGATGGTCCTAGAATGCCTCTTGTTCAACTATTGAATAATTATACTTTAACCCCTGCATTTTTAATTAATCCAATTAATCCCAAAATTAATCCTAATTAATTTATGATTCATTATGAATTACATATCACTATTTCTAATTAATATATTATTCTCATAATATGTCAACAAATCATTTATTTTGATTTCTAATTAATTTATTAACCATGTAATAAATTAATAAACCAATCTATCTCTCTCTCTAAAAGTTATCCTATTCAATTGCTAGGTTTGAGGGCAACCCAAAAGGACTGTGCTGGTATCAATTCAAGTATATACCAATTATAGTTATGAACTTAGACATCTAATTCAACAGTCTCCTACTTGGATAAGTTTAATAACTATATTTTCCAGTATAACTTCAACAAATGATTAGCAAATTGTAGCTCTCAAAAGCCATTGTCAAACTCTGACCCAGTCAGTTACGTGTCCTAAGATAATTGATCAAATATTCCTCCATTCTACAAGATATCGTATAAACATGAGACATGGATTATAATCAATCTCTCTGTCCAAGATTTTGTAACATTCAAAAATTATGACTCAAAATTTTCATTTTTTAATTTAAGTAAAAACGGTATTCTAAAGCATAGTTCATACAACCTAATATAATAAGTATGTCGAACATCATAAAAATCAGAGTATGTCCCATAAACAGAATCCATATGGTGTGTGCGATGCGGTTAACCCTAGCCCTTCCCCTTGGAACCGGAAGTACCTGAAACACAAACTAAAAACTGTAAGCATAAATCTTAGTGAGTTCCCCTAAATACCACAAACGATACATACAATAAACATGTAATGGACACCACCCGACATTAGACCCCACTTGATATCGAGTCCCGCTCGGTAATAAATCGGACCCCGCCCGACATACATATAACATATATCGAATAATGACATACACATGCAATAATCACAAAAATACATAGCATACAAATGGTCATCGGGCCCCGCCCGACATTTGGCCTTAGCCCGGTAAGCATATAAACACATAACACATGCAAGAGTCACGCAGACAACTAACATACTAACATAGCATAAACATGGTCCGACATTGGTGCTTTCGAACTGCTAAACCCAGTGAGGAAAACTCACCTTGAAAAGCTGAATGAAACGAATAATCCCTTACTGCTGGTCCTACAGCTCCCCAAGCTATCAATTGCCAAATAAAACCAATTAACAATTGGGATCTAAATCATAACTGATGAGAAAAATATTCTTTAGGATCGATAGATTCAATCAGATATCAATGAAACGAAAACAAGTAATAGAAAATGATAAACACCAAGATGAATCAAACGAGTATCGAATGATTAATATGCTCCACCTCAGAAGAATTCAACATGAATTGCTACTGTAGAGGTATGCTAGGGTTACAATACAAGATCTATCAAATAATAATTAAGAAGCGTAAATAATATAATGCATGCATGCACTGTATATAAACTAAAACCTAAAACAAAATACGGATGGACAGGCCCAGACCGAGTATACATATGGACCGAAGATCTAAGCCCAAAGACGCAACTTCTTAGACTCAACAATCTCCCCCTTTGCGTGAACTGGGGCAAGAAATCAAGTTGGTTTAGCAAGAGTGCTTTTCTTCACCGTCTTGAATAACATGGGTATGATGGCAAGAAGAGTTTGGCGAAACGAAATGCACCACTGAAGCATATCAGTAAAGTTCTTATTGTCACTTTCACTATTCAGCTTGCACCTGTGTATGATATCAATAATATGCTCCAAACATGTAGTGGAGAACAGGTGTTTATCGTCGACAGCGAACGCAAATCTTTGACCTTCGCCTCTAGTGAACACGATGATGTTATACTTCGAATCAATTTCACCCATCTGCATTATGTTCGCATCAATAGTCTTCCCAATCGGTTTGATAGTTGGCTTCTTTCCTCAAAACACTTGCAATCTATTGATCCATATTTGCAACCTCCATGATGTAAGAGGCTAACATTCTCTTGATATGAGTAATAATCGGCTCATACTGCTGCTGCTCAGTCAGCAAAAATGTTGTTGAGAATGATCCAATCAAGTGGATTCAGATTCGGTAGATCAGCCAATGAGATCATATGGACCGAACTGTCTGATCCTCGAGTTACTTTGAATTTGACATTTATAAACAAACCCGTAGGATTCAGTTTCAACACCTTAACTGAAGTAATCTTTTTAGCGCTCCATGTTAGGTATTGAGGTTGAGAGAATTCAAGATAGTAGTTGATTAGTTCTCGATCAACCTTCAGATTTAAGAGAAGGAACGTTGATAGTTGAATCGAAATAGCAAAATACAAAGGCCCTTCGGGTGATAGGCATGTCAAACTGAGAATCCCTTGTATTTTCACAGTAAAAAGAAACGAATGGCTCAAGCCAATGAGTGCTAGGGGACTCAATTGCTTCCTTGATAAATTTCTCCGATGACCACAGTGGAAAGAGAGCTTGTCTACAAACCAAAGTGTCATGAGCATCTTTCTCTCTTTTCTCCCTTTCTTCCTCAGTTTCCTCTTGTTCATAATCCTGACCCATAATGCCCTTCCCTTTGTCCTTTACACTAGAACTCGAAGCTTCATTACCCTTCAGTTTAGTGGTGACATTCAGAATTGTAGATGATTGTTTGGGAGGGTTTTGCAAATATTATCCCCCTTGTTGCGGAGTAACAATTGGCTCCATAACATTGTCAATTTGGCTCAAAATTTCAAGAGCAGGAAGTAACTTATTAGTTAAGTGGTTTCGAACTGAGAGAGTTAGAACCGAATCATGGGCATTGACTAGATTGGAGAGAATAACGAAGACATCAGAGACAACTTTTGATGACTACTCGCTCTGATTTTAGATAATCAATCTCCTTATTTTCCTGGGTTAGCTTAATGGAATGAAATTCAAGCAAAGTAGTTTTGTAAGCAAGTTCATCCATATTCTTGTTCTCCATTGCAAGGTCAGCTTGAATCCTGTCAACGCGAGATGTGATAGAAGAAAGAAGAGTGGCTTGATCGGCTTGAAGACTAGTTCTCACCGAATCAAATTTATCTTTCTCAGCCTGAAGAGATGTTGACAGTGACTCAATGGCAGTGTTAACCTTTTTGGTGTTAGTTTCTGCAGCTTCTTTAAGAGAATCCAGAAGAATATTTTCATCTGAAATGAACTTGGTGACGTCTTCTGCTACTTTATGACAGGATAAAATGGATGCATCCATAGCCTTGGTTGCCTTCTGGATAGACTCATCATGCTGTTTGAGAGTTGTTTCAATTAAGGCTTGAACAATAGTATCTGAGTAAGCAGATGTGGAGGAAGAGGAAGATGAAGCGAGCAGCTTGTCAAGCTTTTCATTTAAATATTTTAAGTGTCGCTTTGTAAGGGGAGCATCATCATCATCCTCACTTTGAACTCAATAAGAGCTATAGTAATAAGACTCAAATTCAAGTTCGTCTCCACCAAGAACTGGGTATGAGTCTAATGAAGGAGATGGGGAAATGGGTTTGGAGGTAACAGGGGTTTCGGTTTCTGAGGTAGGTGCCCCCGTATCAGATACGATGACACGAACCGTAGGTTAGGGTGTGGTGGTTGTTGTCGAAGTTGTTTGAGTGAAGATTGGTGGAGGGAGAGGTGCAGTAGAGGTAGGTTGAGAAGTAGTAGGTGGTGGAAGTGGTTCAATGGTTATAGGGACAGAAGTATGAGATGGAGAATGAGGAGTTGGAATGGAGTCATTAACTAGTACCCCAGGAGATGGAGAACATGGAGATAAATCTCCTCGCGGTGATCCTTCAAGGTGAGCATCTTCACCTTCAGCTATTTTCTCTTGATCGTGATCGGAAGGAACATGATCCGAATCACTAGGCGAAGCTGCCTTTGGTTTCCTTGCCATCTTCTTCACCTTTCGCTTCTTTGGAACAGAAGAAGCTGCTTGTTCGGTCTTACGCTTTTTGGGCATAGAGACTTTGGAATATGGACCTTCATTCTCCTGCTTCTTTTGTTCAGGCTTTTTTTCCACGTTTGGTTGGTTTATCAACGACATCCAACGCAGTTTGCATCTCAGGAGTTAATTGCCTCGGTCATATGGGTGGGAGGGTCCTGTATTCAACCATGACCACTACTAGAAAAACAGCCTTTTACGACGCTCATTGCGCGTTGTAAAAGGCTTAGTCGACGCGCAAATGCGCGTCAAGGAAGGCCCTGTCATAAAGAGAGACGACGCGCTTATGCGCGTCATCTATAGACGACGCGCATTTACGACACCCGTTTACGACACGCAATGCGTATCAAGGAAGGCCCTGTCATAAAAGAAGACGACACACATTCGCGCGTCGTAACCTTACGATGCGTGTGTTAATGACACGCAATGCGTATCATGGAAGCCCCTGTCAAGAAAGTCCATGTCATAAATGAAGATGACACACATTTTTGCGTATCGTAATTTTAAATGTTAAAAAAAAATATTATTTATAGATTTACTAATTTTCAAATTAAATTTGCATTTAATGTCTCATAATTAAAAATAAAATATCATATACAAAAAATACAATCCATTACATAAAATTTAATGTCATACATATAATCGTTCCATGGAAAGATAAAACAAATCAATAGAAGTTGTAACGAAATTTACAAATTAATAGTTCTAATAACCTAATGTGTGCATCGCTGTAAACAAGATTTGTGCTGATTTTTTTAAAACCCTTGTCATCAAATGCTTCCTTGGCTACAATAGTTGTCCGAACAACTGAAATTTATAATTTTTTTAACATTTTACAAAATTATATTATATATAATAAGCTTCTCAACACTTGTTATCAAAAAATTAATTAACTCTCACTAGGGTATTGAATTAGAGCTTGAACTCCACCATTTTTGTCAAACATCGCTATCTTTAAAATAGACCCAAAAGCAGAAAATAATTGTTTACAACAAAGTGAGAGAAAGAGAGATTAAAAATGAGCACATGGTCAAATATGAAAAAACATTCACAATCAGAAAGGTCAAGTTCTTGAATTGATTTTTTTAGATACTTCTCGTTGATGGCCGAACTATTCTTTTCCATTTCATCTCCATCAGAATTTCCATCTTTACCCCCGTGATTACCCTTTATTACTCCAGGTAAATGTCCATGACTCCATAAGGATCCTGCCAAAGCTAGTCAAAGTCATGCTATAGAGTCATGAAAAAAACAATTTAACATCCTACATTACTGAGGAAATAACATGGAGGGGCATTTAGGTAAAATCGTCATTGGGTTTAGGATATATGTAATTATATGTAAACTTACTCATGGGGAAGAGCTATCTGCATATATATATATATATATATATATATATATATATATATATATATATATATATATATATACATTATTAGATGAAGATTTATAGATTCTTATTAGGCATGTAAATGTAAATAAGAACTTATGTGTACAGTTACTTGTCTTTTCACTGCGATCTATAAACTCATTGACTTCTTCCACAATATCCGGATATGCTCCAAGCAAACTATTTACCTAACAAAAATAAAAATTTCTTTAATTTATCAAATTCAATCTAAGGATACCACACAAAAAGTCATCTAGAAGTTTTATGGATACACAAACAACGAATGCAGATATCTAGCAATAAAGCAGGAAGTAGATACTAGAAACAAAAAAGAATAAATCTTTAAATAATGTGTATTGTGTATATAAGTTTACCCTTGATTGCAATTGTGCTCGAGTAATACTCTTTGTGCAATACTCTGCAATGCACATCAAAAATGACTGGTAATCATCTGAGTTGCTCAATCTTTCCTTCACCTTCTCAGGAAGACAAAGCATTTGGTGATGTACATCTTCTAACATACAAAGGCTCAATAAGGACATGAAATAAATTGTTCAAAAGAATGCAATACCTTTATAACAACAACCAGATGGAACTAGTATATACCTTGATGAAAGAGTTCAACTACAGAGTCTTCAAGAGTACGTGGGGGTTTATTTTGGGAAAAATGATGTGTCACATCACAATATTTATCATCTTGATCATGTTCTCTTTGTTCTGTGTCTTCTGATGTGTCTTTTTCTTTCTCATCATGTTCCTTAATCTCTTTATCAGGTATAGTACATGCTTTTTCATGATCTGGATCAGGATGGCCAATTCAGCAGGGTTCCTAAGATAAAAATAAATAAATAAATGACATCAATAGATTTTAGGTTTCATCATATAAGTTATTATGATTCTAATTTCTAAAATTCAAGTAGAAATCTTTCTTCTTACCAATCAACCAGCCCAAAAATTGGCATTTCAGGGAAAGCGTTACTCATGCGATGAAGAAGAAACCTGTTTGAACAATCTTGAATTTAACCTTTAAGACACAAGATAAAATTCCAAAAATATTGATTGATACAACTAATTGATATTATGCACAACTTGAATTCCATAACAATTTAGACAATACATCATGTCTTTTTAAACAATTATTCAATGTGCTAGCCTACTATCACTGAATATCTAAGAAATTCCAGCCTAATCTTTGGTTCAAAAACATAATATATTGAAAAAAATTCATTTCATTTGATCACGAAATGAAAAGGGTCAGCAACATAAATAATTGGGAACACAATTATTCAATTAAGTCTTTTTCACAATCAGCTTCATTTCTGTTTAGCCTAAAATAGAATACTTGTTTTACAAAAGCAGGAACCCATTTTGTTTTCTCATTGTTTTCAAGCAGTTAATCTTTCAACTTTTCCACTGCTACAAACCTTGACCAAAAATATAATGAGGATGAGAAGGGAATTCATGTCTTTTACACAAAAGATGAGTATAAAAAGTGTACCAGCTGGAACTGCTCTGTTGATGAAAGGAGTATCGGATCTCCAACAAAATGGATATGAATGAGTAAAGCTTCCAGATTTGACCAGTTTGCTCTTATCCTGCATACATCCATAACAAAAGGTAAGGAATAATCATTTTACATAAATGTTCCTGTTAATAATTATATAACATTTAACTATTCTTGCCTTCACTGCTTGAATGATATCTTTATCTGCCTCTTTGACATATTGACCAATGAAATCAATAACTCTTTCTGTAAAGCATCCATCATCATCAACTGCCATAACAAGATTTTCTCCCTACATAATGAAGAACAAGTGTGATTGGGTTATAGGAAAAAAGATATAAATAAAGATACAATGCATATGTGATCAACATATTTCAGACCTTATGAATGATTTGATTTTCCAAACAAACACGATAATCATCTTCACCAAATGCTGGAGCACAGTGCACGATTCCAGTTCCACTATATGAAGTTACACAATCATCAGCAACAACTCTGAATGCCACATCTGAGAATTCACCAAACCTACCTTATGGTCACTTGTTTTATTTTCAAAATAAATGAAAAATGCAACAAATAGCAGCAACAGGTGACAAAATGTCTCAAAGAGGACAAACCTGTAACTTGAGCTTAAGCTCACGCACCATTTGAAATAACCGTTTATATGTGCTTCAACTATACCCCACCAACAATCAACCATTACTCCATCAACATTCATAGACCTCAAAAACCTTAATTGGTTCAGTAGACCATCAGGATCAACAACTTCACACTTCATATTAACTGAAAGTTAATAGCAACACTAAGTGAAAGTTAAAAATTGAAATGGTATAAAAGGTTGTTACTAAAATAGACAACCAAAAGAAAAACAAACTACAAAATCAATTTCATAATTTCTTGTTTTTTTTTATTGCTAGCTTCTTAATCTTTATATATTTTAAGCTGAAACAAGTTTCCACCCACTTTCAGGTTCAAGAAAATTATGCAGCTGACTGCAGCAGCTGGGGCCTGTTGTAGTGCATCTTCATCAATCACTCTGTTACAAAAAACAAATCAAAGATATAAAAACTAAATAGCATAATAGCGAAGTGCAGAATCATCAATCACTCATTGATAATTCATTATTTATAAAACCTAGAGTTCACTTCCTTTTGAAAAAAAAATTCATGGGATACCTGTTTACATTGATAAAAAGAAGAGAGACGAACCAAAAAATTTGACCTTGATGTCATCTTTAGTGAAATCGGTAAAAATTCCAACTTACATTTGAAATTAACGAACCAAAATGGCTGGAGGAAGCAGTCACTAGTACCAAACCATAGATTGCGTTGACAGAAAGAAGAGAGACGAAACAAAATGGGAAGTAACACAAAAATTAATATATTAATTTGATCGGACTTTACCTTGGTTCATAGATTAGGGCTTTTTGTAAAGAGAATGAAAGAGGAAAATAAGGAACCGATGCGGTGGAAACAGATAAATTGAGTAGATTAGAGATACCCATAAAGAGAAGCTACCGAATACATGAAATTAAAAGCCAGTGGTATACATAACTTCGGAGATGGCGTGCCTACTGTTGCCTTGATCGATGTCGACGACCGGGAAGGGCAAGTAACGGTGGTCGAAGTGCGAGGGAAGAAGTCGGCGGCAGTCAATGTCGGGAGGAGGGAAGGAAGGAGCGTCGATAATTAGGGCAAGAGGGAAACTAAAGTGGAGGAGAAAAAAGGAAGGCGGGCATTTTAATATTTCAGGATTTCATTTCCCCCTAGAAGGATGGAACGCGTGTTTCTATTAAAATTTATAAAGCGACACCCTTAGACAACGCACGTTTTATTATAGGTGCCGTCCGTGTTTTTTTTTCTCAGACACTAATTTCATGGCACGCAAAAATGCGTGTTCTAAATCCTTTAAATTTTAAGAGAGATGACATTATTTTTGGGGCACCCAAAAATGCGCGTCCTCTATCAGCGAGTGTCATTTTTTGGGCGTCATTAAAGTGCTTTTTTCTAGTAGTGGACCTTGTTTCCGGCCGTGACGCACCTGTACATCGATTCATGAATGGAACCAACAAACAAGAATTTGGTTGGATATGAGACGATGATCTTGGTTGTGTGAAATGTTGCAATCAAAGATCTTAATGCATCCGCCATGACTGGAACATTAAACTTCTCGATGGCCCGATGAGTGACAAGGGTCCAAAATCTACCACAGGAGATTTCAGAGTGTCGATAAGAAAATAGGCTTTGTACCAGTTGGGACCATAAAATTGATCCATAGTCCAAGTTGATGTTGTGATAAAGACCATAGAGTAAGGTCATGAAGGCCTTGCTAGAACCATCTGACCCAGCAACCCTTTCCGCATATGCCTTGAATAAAAGGGTAAATAAGCCATTTCACTGTGATGGGAGGCAATATTTCTTGAACTTGGTCACCGTGGTAAGAAGATCAATATATCCCATATCATAGAACATTGTGAACAACTGATTTGTAGAGATGGAGTCAGGATTAACAAAAGAATCATCAGAGGCCAACTTCAAGAGGGAGAAAAATCTAACTCTGGAAACGGAAGTTTTATGGTTGAATATCTCAAAGAAGATGTGATCCTTGCTTTTGTCATAGGAAGCCATCGTATAGACTATATAGAGAAACGACATCGGGACTGATTCCACTTGCATCATGGTGATCACGAGTGGTGAATATTTGAGGCATTCAACCACTTGGAGCATATAGGGATCATATAGGAAAGGATTCAGATCAATAATCAGGTTCTGGTTGGGCTTAATGGTCAACAGAGAAGATGAGGCAGTTTGTTCATGAACAGATGAAGATCCAACCATTGTTGTAGGGGTAAAGAAGAACATGAATAGTAGAAGTTCGTCGGTGTGTTCTTGAGAAAGTTTGGAGGTGGTAATGTGGTACAAGAGGTGTGAGAAAACCTTATATACCATTCCCAGGAGAGAGAAAGAATCAGAAGTAATGATGATACGATATTCTGAATCAGCACCTGTAAAAGGGCGATTTGATAGTTGTGTTTCCCTAGGAGGACGTCATTAGGTGTGATGTTAGGAACCATTTCAAATTCACGCGCCTGTTGCAATGCTTATCCAATGACTCGGTTTGAAATCTTATCTTGTTACCGCCTTTCCAAATTCGAAAACGTTTCAAATCCTTTTTCAAACTATGACCAACCCTTTTGATTCATGTAAGGCTGGAAAAGTTCACGCCTCAACATATTGCACCACCATTGCATTTACAACCGAAGCTTCAAAACTGAAAACAAGAATTAGTAAAATCCTAAAGATTTCCTTGCAAGAGTGTGCCAATAGAAAAGAAATAAAACAAAGTATTTGTGGGATTTAAGTGATGTCTATTTAGACACAAAACTATGGATCCCGGGCACGAATCACTTCCTTCGAAGTCAAGAGAGACTTAGAAGTGTTTGTGTGGTTTCCCGTTGAAATACGATCAAATGTTTATTAAGAAACATTGAAAGGCATCTTTTCAAATTCAAGCTATAAGGGGTGGCTTAGCTTCAACCGAACTTCAGTACTTGATATAAGATTGAAAGTTGGATGAAGTACTTGTGAGACCAGTGTGGTCTATGAAACAAGTAGGTTTGATAATATATTCAGTGACTTGGTGATATTGATGTTGAAATCTTAAGAAAAAATAAAAACTGGATCTTTTGGGAAGAAAAGTCTTGGTGTTAGACAATGCATAAAGATCTCACAAAAATAAAAAAAGATTTCAAGGTACAGAACATCAAAGTGGTTTCGTTAAATCATGGGTGAAAAACTAAAACTTTGGAGTGTTCACCGTCAATTCGTTTAAGGCATTGGATTTTGGGTCTCACTTAGCACGTGGTGAAACGAAAATAAGATCATCAACACAGATGTTGTGTAACCATAAACCTCAGTGGTAAATGCTAAGAGTCTCAAGGGTTACTAATATGAACCGAAAGGAGATGGAGAAATAAGAATATGTGGTTAAAGAACCGAAAGTACCTCTGCTATTAAAGACAAACCAAACATATAACTCTTAACTCAATGTGAGAAGAGTAAGGTAGCTCATGACTTGAGTGATTTTATCAGCCTAAATGGGAAGAAAAGATTTGTATATATCTAATCATTAAGGCTTCACTCAAAGTCTTGGAGTCTTCGGTCGACATGCAGCAGTATGCTTCTAGGGACACTTAGCTAGTACTTAGATAAAGAATGTTATACCTGCCCCAGTTCTATCACATAATCGCATCTGTAATACTGAAATTTAATATTTTGGAATTTTCGAATTTTTCGAGATAAGAAAAGAAAAATAAGCAAACGAAGTAAAAAGAATTAAACATTAAGTTAAGAAAAATATTTTTGGGTTTTATGAATTTTCTGAAAAAGAAATAAAAACAGAAAAGAAAATATTTTTGAGTTTTGTGAATTTCCTGAAAAAAAAAAAACAGAAAAGAAAATATTTTTGAGTTTTGGAAATCAATTGAAAACATAAAATAGAGTAAGCAAAAGATATAAATAGTATACAAAGGATATGTAGGTTCCAAACCATAAGATGAAACAATCGCTCGCTTTGAAAAATTATGAGAGGCGAAATAGACTGAGCCTTCGGTTCATTTCGGTTCCCGAAAAATCAGGAGTTAAGATAGACCGAACGTTCGGTTCATTTCGTTTTCATCAAATCGTCACTTCTACCAAGTGAGTTCATACCCCTATCACTACACTTTCAAATACTTTTAAATGCTTTTAAATGCTTTTAAAGACTTTTAAGGGGGGGGGGGGAACAAGTAAACACAATCAATCTTTTGCTATACTTTCATACTATTGTATTAACTATCATATGAAGTTGTTAACATGCAAAACATCACACATCACAACTTTACCCTCATGGGATACAATATGTTTTACAAATAGAAATATGTTTCATTTATATGTTTGCATACTACATCATACCAAAGGTAACCATTTCAACTATAACATTACGTTTATACAAAGAAATACAACTCATTATTATGCCTTTGTCAACACTGTAAAAAGGGTGATCATTTCAGGAATCACTCATATACATTTTAAGAATATCTGACTTAATTGAGAATCCATGAGACATTCGTCTTCACTATACTTATGAAGGTACCACTAGAAAGCCATGTTTTATAACCAGAGTCTCATGTCCGGAGAACACGATAAGTGTGTATAGATCTATACGGGACTGATGATCTCGCACCCTGGCTGTTAGCTACAACCGGACCGGAAGGTTAAGGGTGACAAGTGTCATAACATTTTGACGCCTGAAGAACATCGCTACAGGAAAACCCATCATTGTACAGTTATGAAAACTCACAGGATAGACAATTATTATGGTATTATGTTTTTGCGGGAAAAGTAATATTACAATTATTTTTACATGAAAATACAAACTTCTTATAGTTTTGTTTACTAATAAAACTATACATCATTATGTTAAGTATGCCATATTTACTTATAGGTTACAGTCTTGGGCATTTAAGATTGCTCCTCACTTTTAGGAAAATATAGGTTTTTCCTGGTTCGATACATTCATTTCATACACACAACGATTCCTAAATCCTTTTATAAGAAAATATCGGATTTTCTGGAAAACAAACGTGAACTTTCAAATGGCATACATTTACATAAATATCTACTTATGAACTCACCAACTTAATTGTTGACACTTTTTTTTTTGAAATAACTTGTATTCTCAGGGAATCGCTAAACACCAGGTTAGCAACGACTTTTGGGGACTAATGCTCTGGCGTTAGTAACATCTTTTGGAGCATCATATTGTATTTGAGTTTTGAAACATGTAATAAAACAGTCATGTAAACTTTTCAAATATATATTATGGTGGTGTGTACTTTCTTTACTATTCAATTGTTATGATACTCTACGTGACGTCCTCCACCCCCGAATGTTTCCACCATTTAGGTTTGGGGGTGTGACATGAGGCCCCTAAACTCCATAAAGTTGGCACCTTTATGCCTAATGAGCCCATGAAGACCTTAGATCTGAAAGAATAAGCCTTTGGGACGTCCTAATCCCAACATCCATCCAAACCTTGTCTAAAAACATAACTATTTAACCCAAAAAGAGATCTAAGCATCTAGAAACCAAGATATGAACTTGATACCTCAAACTTCTTGAAAAATGGGTAATGGTTCTAGATCCAAGAATTCCTTCTACAAGACTAGCAACTTCAAGATCGTATAACTTCTTCACAATGAACAAAACGAACACCAAGTTCTCTTCAAAGACTCAAATGCTTGACAAAAGGAGGCTACAACTCGTTTTAGGGTTTCGGAGGCTTTGGGTGCTGGTAAAAAGGCCAGCCCCAGAAGATAAGGATCCTTAAATAGGGTGCAAAACCCCCCAATTAGGGGCTTCATTAAGTTTTACATACGACTAACGTATGCGACCTAAGTCCCGTCTCGCCACCAACCCAGTACGTTAAGCATACCAAGTGGTACACCCCGTGTACCGGCTTCTC